CCGATTCGTCGAGGGTGCAAGGGAAAGGGCGTACATATATATCCTTTCGAGACTCGGGGCTGAGCTGCGTGGCGGAGACCCATTTGCGATGCAGGTAACTCGGCACACCGACGCCAACACCAACGCCAAACGCCACCACACCCCTCCGTCCTCCCTTCCCCTCCCCACCGCTTTGGAAGTATCTTCCAGCTTCGGCGGGCCGCTTCCTGTACGTGTGAACACGCACACGACACACGCACGAGTTGCCAGGACGCGTGTGTGCCGGGGGGGGGGGGCCGTGTCTGTGGTGGACGACGATGCACATGCAGACACCAAGCAAAACCTATCTGCCATGCACGATCGCTCGGTTGCATATAAGCCTCGAGACGCGCAGCACGTCATTACGCGGCCAGAAAGCAAAAAGACGATAGCCCCACCGGCCAGCCAATCGGCGTTCGCGTGCTAATGAATCCGAACCGAGCCGACCAATGGCGGTACCCCGCGCGCTCCTGGTGAACCCGGTGTAACCCTCGTGGCGATGCCGCGGACACCAGGAACCCGGGGTGCGGTGCGCGGACCGATCGAGAAATCCTCCTCTTTTTCTGCGATCGGAATCTGCGACGAGGGACGCGCGGATTTTTCGAAATTTCCAATGGTTATTACGCAACGCCGCATGGTTCCTCGGGTTAATTTATCGACTGAGGCAAATCTACCATGCACGCCGTGATGGAGGATTCCCCTCGAGCGGGGAAACCGATGCTCTCGATCGTTTATGCTCCCAACGAGGGATATCGCGGACGCTAACGAAATCGAGCTCAAAAAGAGATTCGAGTTTCTTGGTCTGAAGATGATGAACGGGTTCCACCCCCCCAGCAGAAGTCTAATGGAACCGATAGAGAGAGACTTTATACGTCGTTTCGATTTGCAAGCAGGCACTTTGTTTTCGAAAAAACATTCATCGAATAATTGGACATTTTTACGACACCTTTTAACGTAAGCCCATTAATAAAAATAAATCCGAATACTGGCACCGTTTTGTCTGCGTTGATTCAACGAGAAGTTCACAATCGTTTCTGCAGTACAAATTTGAAGTAATTAATATGTTGGAAGGTAGTCCATTTGTACTGTAACTACCCATTAGAATGCTTATCATACGAATCAGTGATGCTTAAGCGTTTATGAATCTGTTGGGTAGGTTGAGTGGATTGTACCTTTTCCGTCCGTAGGTGTGGTCACTTGGGTTTAATAGGTTCATTACAAGCAGCTTTAGGTGGCTTGATGTTGTTTACTGAATTTTACGATGGCCATTCTTAATCTTGAGGGATAATATTGTTTGACAATGAGACGATTCGTTTTACAGAAATATTCCGATTATCCGGCATAATCGAGATAATTGGACTGTACTTACATATAAAATGATGAAAACGAGGAATATAATCACAGACGAGGTATACAAGTAGACTTACTTACTTACATCCAATGTATTTTTTCGGCCCACTTTTACCGTTTTCCTGTCACTAATAACATTATCATCAGGTTACAGAAATAAATGCAAGAAGAAGTGAAACAAAAAATAAAATTACAGAAACATTTCTTGCTACACATTATATTTTCGGTAAAAAATTTTTTACTCGAAAAAGGTTAGGATTTCGAGGGTATGTCTATTGACCAAAAATGATTGTAATTGACTCCTGCAATCGAAAATAATTTTTCCAGAACGAGTTGAAATATTTTATTTTCGCCGAAAAATTAGGCGCCTACTTTTTTTTAAAACGAACACGATTTTTCTTAAAAATTTGTTTTTGATTCTTAATAAACACAACCATGGGTAATGTAGTAATACAATTTATTAATAAGAAATAAAATATATAAAATTCCTACGCTTTATTCGTCAACTGTTTACTATCGACGTCACTGCTGGATGCATGCGGCTGTGACTTCTTTGTTTGTGTGAAATATACTTCATAACATTTATCGAAGAATAGTCGAGGTGAATATGTATATACGAATATATGTAAATACGAATAATTATTCGGGCATTCCGGATAACCGGGTACCTGATAATCGGAACTCTACCATAGTATGTTTCTTCTAATGGTTTCATCATTTCTTATGGACGCGTATTTCTTCGAATATAATATTGCATTCCACTTTTGAATACCCTCCGGCGCGACATTTAAAAGATTAACGTCGTCTGTGAATTCCGGCGCAGACATTGTGTCTCTTGTTAAGCAGCGCGTTACGGAATAAAAGTCCATCCGCTTAAAGGGCCCAACAATGTGTTAACTTTCGCGGGATACCTATCCATTACGCCATTAAGTGCGCCTGAAGCTCGTAACAACAACAACCGACCACACAATTCCGCGCCCTGGCTCGTTCATCAGGACCGTCGACAATTGGACGCCGCACAGTGGTCTGGAATATTGGAAATATGCCAAAGAATACGAGGGATTGGCAGATATGCTCCTTTTTTAAAGGAGCTTTCTTTGGCAAATTGGAACGACTCAATTCCAGACCAAATCTGGCCCACTACACGATTTTAGTGACTATACTATAATATTGGTTAAATTAAAAAGCAACGAGAACCTTCGAAGGGGGCAATTTTACGTTATAAAATATAGAATAAAACTTGTTCGTGCAGTGCATCGTTTTTTGAGATAATTGAGTTTGGCGATATTGGATATTCTCGTTACTGAACCGATGAGTTTGAGATCGTTTGACAGCAATAATTGTACTAATTTCTACGCAAGTTTTCATTGCACAAAAGAAACATTGATTTCTCTAATATTTATGATATTCCACGAAACATTACATTAAAAAAGGCCCATGAGACTGCCAAGACTCCCATGCGCCTGTATCATTAACAACAACTTCACAAATATTAAATTTTAAATCAAATTTAAAAAAAAATTACCACGTTATTCGAATTGGCCGCACCAGGTTCTCAGGCGAGAGGAACGTTTTTAAATTAAAATATTGAAAAATATGGAAGAATCGTCGAAGGGGCGAAGTTGAAGGTTCGTTAGCTCGGCGGTAGACCCGCCTCTGTGTAGTGGTACGCAAAAACATCGTGCACGAAGACAAGAGCGAAGGAGGGCGAGGTTCTTGTAGTCACGGGAGAACCTAGCCGTGACAAGGAACGCGCTCATTGTTTCCCTCCTTGGCTGGCGACACGTACAGTGCGTGCACGCGTGCATGCGTGCCTGCGTGCAGTGTTGGGGGCTCCGGTGCATGTACAATTGTGCACACGCCGCGCGGGACCGCGCATAGTCGCCGCGACGTGCACAACGCGGCTCGGTGCAGCGTGTACCGGAGTCAGAGAGCCGCTCAGGGCTATCATTATGGCGGCAGTAGACACTCCCTCCTTATCGCCGGTTTCCAACGCGAGTCCCGACCGAACGAACGAACGCTCGCAGCTCCGTTCGCCATCATTATATTTTCCGCGGCGAGAAAGGACGCGCACACCAACGAACGCGCCCAGAAATACGCACACTCGCGCAACGATACGGCAACGAAACCGCGCGCGTACCAACCGAATCCGGTCACCGGTCTCCGATCTCTTCTTCTTGCGTGCTCGAGCCCACCTCGTGGCGCGCTTCGATACATTGTAACCGATAGTTTCAGGTGAAACCGGATTAAACAGACCGCGGAAAAGCTGAACGAGGTTTTTCAAGCTTCGCTGAGCAAAAAATGCGCGCTACTGCTCGCGTTTCGAGATACATTTATATTCTCAGTTTCTGATCTGAGTTTGGGATTGTTTGATGGTAACTGTTTGTCGCTAGTTTGGTTTGGTACACCCAGGAAGACCTGGCAACAGTCGTTCAAACGCACTGTCTTTGGGATGTCAAACGATTGACTAGAGCGTTTGTATTGTGGGGGGATCGAGAGAAATTCCACTGGCGTCGCAAATGGGAAGAGAAAGATGGCTTTTGAGTACTCCAAGAATGATACTGTTTATAATCAAAGCACTATTATAGGAATTTTGTATTGTAGGAAAATCAAGAGAAATTTTACCAGATTTTGTATTGTAGGGAGATCGAGAGAATGCCAGGAATGTCAGAGATAGTAAAAAGAAAGCGGCTTTGTAGTACTCCAAGAATGCTACTGTTTATAATCAAAGCACTATTATAGCAAGTTTTTATTCTAGGAAGATCGAGAGAAATTCGACCAGATTTTGTATTGTAGGGAATCCGAGAGAAATTTCATTAATGTCAGAGATAGTAAAAATAAGGTGGCTTTGTAGAACTCCAAGAATGCTACTGTTTATAATCAAAGCACTATTATAGGAATTTTGTATTGTAGGAAGATCGAAAAAAATTCCGGGAATGTCAGAGATGGTAAACAGAAGATGGTTTTGTAGTATTACAAGAACGATACTGTTTATGATCAAGGTACTCTTATAGCAAAGAACCAAATATTCTAAAATTTTTATGTGTTCCAAATAAAATTCGACACGAGTTTTTCTCTACCTGAAGGATGTTTCACTTCGCGAAGTACATAGTCTCGTTTTTTTTTTTTGCTACGCGATTTCCTGCGATCTGTTCTTTCGCTACCGGTTAAGTCCTAACCGGTCCCGCGGTAACGTTTTTGCTGGAAAAATCAAGGCTCCACTAGTATGCAAGAAATCAATTTTTATGTTCTCGGTAGATCCTTGAGTTGTTATGGATCCGAAGTAGATCTAGATTAAGTAAGTAGGATAAGCGGTGTTGGTTCGATCCACGGCAATCTTCTTCGATCGGAGCCACCCAGGGGAAGTTAAAAGTATTAGAAAATTCAAACTTGATCTACAGAATCTGGCTGACTGCTTTATGTTTCTATAATTTGTATAGACTGTATATCTTGTGTATAATAAAAGAAGAAAAATTCCACCGGATTTTCGATTAATAACAGTCGTTATACTCCAGGATAGATAGGGCAGCAGGCTCAGCCATTCTGAACAAGCATTTGATATTTTATCGGCGTTGAAATTGATACTCGATTGTCTTGTTGCCTCGAGCATCGAGGTGTCTTTATCTGCTTACCAGTAACGTTGGCCAGGTCCTCTCCGATCGGCGTGGACGAAGGAATCCGTCAAGTCCAGGAAACGATCAGTTTTCAAACGACAATTAACTCCACAAGTCGCGGATGCTTCATCTCGATAGTGCAGCGAAGTTTCAACAAACTTGGCGAGCCTCCAGCAACTGACGCAGCTAAACGGAGATACAATAATAATCGTTATGCCCGTTCGTCGTGGTGAAATCGAAAAGTAAACGATAAATCCAACTCGATCAACGATATTCAACAAGTAAAATAAATACTCCGAGTACCGACACGTCTTTCACGATCGTCAGTTTGGGCGACAACAGAAAATTCCGGACATCGTTTTTACTGGTTTCTTATCAAGATTATAGTTCATTTTATATTCAAATTTAAGAAATTATCGATTACAATGAAAATCAAAATTCCAACAGTCTTGTATCTTTGTCTGTTGTGTTACGTAGTGAACCGATTTTCATTAAACCACTATTATAGCACAGCATAATTTTTCCGAAAATTCAGCGTTACCGATATAGACGAGCTTAAAACATAGTTAATTGATAATAACAAAACGATGCTTGCAATAAATTGTTAGTAAAATCATATTAACGGAATAAACCGAACCTGCTGATGAGTATGTTAGCTTCTAAAATAGATACACGTGCCGTAATTAACGAAACGAAGCTTCTATCTTTGCCTCGTCTCGGTTTATAAATTTTCGAGTTACCTTAAAGTTCCTCGCACACGTCTTCCTCCATGAACGCGAGCAGTCACGTGGGTATCTCGAGCGACCGCCATATTCTTCTGCCAACTCGATCCCCGTCAGCCAAGAAACCATCGCGACAGAGGTTACTTTACCACCTCGGAACACTAAAAAGTTCTCTTTTACTCATCGACAACTAATCTTCTTAAACTTTCAACCGTCCGACGCACATCCAAATCACTGACGTCTGTTCGTCACGACCGTCGGCGTCTTCTTTCTCGCCAATTTCCAGGAATCCTTCGAAATCATACACTCGTCCCCGATATCACAAATAATGCTCTCGAATCTCGACGTTTCTCGGCACTCCAGTTCAAAGAGCTCGTTGCAAATTCACTTGTAAACGAGGTCGTAGGTGGTTAAGGAAATCATGACGTATCAGTGGAACGTGGCGTCGAACCGAGGAGTGCGGGCGGCTCCCAGGTCGAGGTTTCCCATCCCACGGAGGCTGGTGCACCAGGAAAAAGGAACCTTTTTTCACTAGTAGCCGGTCGAAGGAAGCCGGGACGAAGAGGAAACACTTTGCCGCACCGGGAGCATGTGACAATCCGCTCGCATCGAGGACCGAGGAGAGACTCTATAAGGTGGTTTCCATCCCCCAATAGCGGCTGGCGCGCTGGCGGACCCGACGCTGCAATCATTCCCCGTAATGATTGTCATTACCGGGAACGGGAGGGCGAGCGAGCGAGCGGGTGGACGAACGGGGCAGAGGGATTGGCCTGCATTGCGATTGCGTTTCTGTCTGGTCCCATTGGCCGACAAACTGCGACTACGGACGAGTCCTCTCTGTTCCGGTAGACTGCGACCTCGGCCCGTTCCAGACGTAATTTCGCCTTTTGGTAGTTCTTTTCCGGCCGTGTCAAAAACGGTTTTCGGAATCGATCTCGCGTTCCCCGGGGTACCAATTGCCCCGGCGCTCGTTGCCTCGTTGTTTAATGGAACGGTACCAGGGCCTCCAGAGCAAACTCGATAAATAGAGATCCGCGCGTTCGAAGCATCGTAATGACGTGGCGGATGATGGGCAGCAACTCGCGCCGGAAATTGCAGCGTGCACCGGTGATCCAGTTAGACGCGCCAACGCCACGGTATTAGAAAAAGAAAACCTGTTACTGAACTTTTATCAATTTACAACGACAGGTTATCTTTTAATGGTCGAGTTTATTTCCATTGGAATGCGGCAACCTCTATACTTATTCAAAACATTTTTTTTTTATGTTAAAAATAGCGAGTAGCTCGTTTTAGTTTTGGCGGATCCATCGGTCCCTGCAGTTAATCACTACTCTACGATTGCTTCAATCGAAATCATTATGTCATCCAGATCGTAATAAAGCGTCGATCGATGGAACGGAGCGCCGTCCGGTGCGTCGATTCAAGGTTTTAAAGTGTTAGTGAAAAGAATGGATTTTGAAGCGAGAAGCATCGGGAGAGGACATCAAAGCACCAGATATCACGGTGGGGCCTTTCATGGCTGCCATTATCGCGTTACTTCCGCGTGGTCGAACGTCATTTGCCTCACACCCCCGTGATGATTTGAGGGCAACCGAGCCACCGACCCAACCCCTCGTGGGTTGTTGGGGCCATTATGTTACTACATCGCAGTGGATCTGCATTCGAGTCGAACGTACCGATGCAGATTCCAGACGCAAACGATGAAACGAGCACAGCAAATATTCATTAGAACTTTGGTAACTCGATTCGATCGCAATATTTCCCGTTTAATTGAAAGAATCCACGCGCGCCCGCGTGAAACGAAACATTTTCACCCGGTTATTCGAGCGCAATAAAAATCAATACTGCTCTTTTGCTCGACGCGTGCGATGAAAATAAACGAACGTGCAAGTTATTTGGTTATTGGCTTTGTAAAATTAATTACAATGTTCATAGCTTGTTTCTCGTTCCAGATTTCACGAGCAAAATGATACTCGGTTAAACGTTATCGGAGAACACTACTATAATATTTTGTCTCCCCCATCGCGGTGTGGTCGGGGAACAAATGAATGAAAATTGAAACGATACGCATTGCAGTCTAGAGGAGTCGTTGTTCCGCAATCGAGGAAACCCATGAAGAAGCGTTTCCATCGCTTAGGACGCATCGCTTCTCTATTTACCGGGAGGCATAGAGAGAAAAAGAATTCGAGACCGGCAGCAAAACACCTCAAAGAACGCTCCATCATGAAGTGCACTCTCTTGATGACAGCATCCACGGCGTAACGTGGCTCGTCCTGGAAGCGGAAAATCATTTTCTCGCGCGGTGATTCGCGGTCCCATGGAGATTCACGAGGAAGAAAGCCGACGGTCGAAGATCTCACGGTCGATTATCTTTACGGGCGACATTACCGAACCATTAGGAGCGTCGTCGTCGTCGTCGTCGTTGGCGTCGCAGCCACCGCCGATGACGGTTCCGCTACGCCTCTGACGTCACGGCGTCGAATTCGAGCGTGGGCGGGTACGTCGAAATGGCTCGTCTCCCTTCGTCTAAGAGCGTCTCCGCTACTCGCCCCAATCCTGGCCCGCGTCCTCCGCCACCTCGACGGCCACCGCCTCTCGCCTCCTGCATTAAGCACTTCGCAACGACAATTTGCGATACATTTGCAAGAGCCCGCGACTTCGCGTTCCATCCTACTCCGCGGAAAATTTCTGAAAAGCGACGCAGTAGGTACCCCCCGGTGTCTCTACCCAGCGAGAGTGAGAAACAGAGAGACGAGCTTCAAGAGAATCCACCGTTTTCCGAGAGTTTCCCTTCGAACGATTCCAACCGGCTGAGGATACGTTTTGTTCCGACATTTTACGGACCTCGCGGTTCTTTAATCGCCTGCTAAGTTGTGCTATTCGGGCGTGTCTTGAGTAAATTTTGTTTAAGTGTAATCGTTGGACTCCTCCGGAGAACTGCGAATTCTCGACACTCGAAAATCAGGGATGTTTTCTTTTAATAATAACGATAATAAAATTTGGTGAATGGAAGAGGAAACTTTTTGTAATCGTTTATAGGCAAGAGACGAATCAGTTGCCGCTCGTATTGTTAACTCTTGGAGGCTTGAAGGCGGAAGTTATTTCTAGTAGACGCTGGTGAGTAGTTAATATGAAACAGCAAAAATTTCAGGGCATATATCTCCTTTCAAAAGGTAACAGATTTAGCTCGATTTGAATCGACGCTGAAGGCATTTTTTATTGAATGTTCAAGATGTTTGTTGGTTATCGAACATCTTTTCGATCAGTTTGGTCTAGACAAGAATATCGAACAACCGTCGGAAGTATTAATTAATAATAAAGCCATTGCTAGGCTGGGTTATTAAGAAACTTTATCAGAGGTTGAGTTACAGAACTCGTTTCCAGCGCACCGAACCATGAACCCACGAAAGCGGTAATTTCAACAACGAATGCTTCCGTGAATCGTTAATTAGGATCGTAACTTTGAAAGTAATCTGGAATCGCATTTCACGGTGTGCCGATGTACCGCGTACGAAGTCGATTTATCAGCGAGGCCAACGGTTGTCATGGGGATGCGACCCGCCCCCTTAAACCGCCTTGCAACCCCCATGCAAACTGCTCATGGAGGTTCAAAAATAGTCTTCTTCGCCTCGTAGAACCTGTTTGATCTACGAACGTTTATATATCATTCTGTAGTCGATGTCAAATTTTAAAAATTCATCCCATATTTTAAGCGTTTCTCTTCTGCGTTCAAAAATAAATTTAATTGATCAGGTACGCGCCATTTTGGTCCATCTTCATAGACAAATAACATGATTGGAAAATGGAGAAAAATTTTGGGTATTTAAAATACCAACAACGATCATTTTTGCTACGAATATTTCAAATCAACGCCTTTCATTTCATCGAACGAGCAGTAAATCTTTATTCTTCAGCCGTCAGAAGACATTTATGCGGCGTTTAAAGTCTCCCAAACGATTTCTCGCGAGAGTCAATGGCTTATCTGCCGAGTATCAATTTAAAAGTTCCGCAGCGCTAAATCCAAAAACGATTCCATGTGGCTTTCTCTTCTTCTCCACAGAGATTTCTTCTTTTCGACAACACGTGGATAAAATTATCCACGATACGGGAGCACGCGAGACCAATTCCAAGCCGAGTGGATGATGAATCGTTGAGGTAATTAGAAGCCACGGTATGTGGAAATCGAAGTGCCCCGTTGAAGCCAATCGTTCAGATTTAATAACTCTTTCGCGAGCGATCATTGATCTTCTCGAAAACTATCCGTTTCGTTTAACCGCCCGTAATTGCGAGACAATCGTAACTCATTCGTGGAGCTAATCGGTGCCTCTTAGTCGCCGAAAATTAGTCTCTCCATTTTTGGCGCGACGACCGAGCCTCGACAATCTATTCAGTTATGAGCAGTTCCCGTTCGAATTCATTATTTGGTTATTTTTCTGGGAGCTCATGATAAACAGGTTCCAATCCCATCAGATGCAGAGCATTGCTTTTCTAGGCGCAAACCGGAATACTGGAATGTTAATGGCCACTTATTTTATTTCTGCGGCGATCCTTTTAGCACGACGTTAGCGCGGCAAAAGTCGAAACATCCGGAACCGGTTTTTCGAATTTTCTGAATGCTCAGTATTTTTACAATTCAAATCTAAAAATAACGAAGAGATTTCCAACCTCCTTTAAACATTACGTACGCACTCCAATAATTTTAATAAATCAGAGCAGGTGATTCTCCTAAAATAAAAATGTTTCGTCGAAACATCATTGAAAAGTTATGTTTTTCCATGTCCACGGCGGCTCTCCCACGACACGAAAGGTATCCGCGGCACTCTTACTTAATTGTTGTTTGGTATCAAGCAATTTTTTTCAAGCCTCGCCGCCTCAACGTACGAGCACAAACACGCACATCGAGTAACATGTTAAAGAGACTCTCGCGTCCGCGGAGGCGCCCTTTTGTCGTGGAGGCCGCATTTTTAACCTCTGAACCGACGCTGACGGTCGCCGCCTCTTTACAACGTCCCGACGTTTGCAAACGCCACTCTCTGTGTTCTATAATCCCACAGCACCGAATGGAGTGTTTTCCTTTCTCTGCAACGATGCTCTCGCCCTTTGTCCGCCCGTTCAAACGAACGCGAAGTTTATTACGTTCGAGAAGTTCGCGGTCTTCCCACACGTGTGGCGCTAGGATCGTTGAAAATCGGACGCCATTGCTAGATTCGAGCATTCCGCAAAATTTAATCCATTTCTAAAATTATTTCATACTCTTTATAATACGTTGTAGTTATTTGATTGTAATTATTTTATTC